TATTGGCATTGTTAAATTTTCAGGTTTTTAATTATCAGTGTCTGCTTAACTGGTCCTCTTCATAACTTCTGAACAGAAAGCCTCCTAGGTTGAGAAAGATATTGGATAATTAGCTTTTCCTTTCTTATTTGAAGTCAGTGAGTTAAATAATAATCAAATAAAAGTTTATGCAGTGGGACAGAATAGTAGATCGGGTAAGGTGCAATGATGAAGTAATAAGTCAGATTTAAGTAATATAAGATTATTTATATTGGACACTGATTAAAATACATTTCTGGTTGCTCACCTTCAGTGGACTAAAAGATTTTTTTCCCCCCTGAATAAGAAAGTGAGTTTGGAAGAACTTGATATTAATTTATAGGGATGTTTTACAGAAATAAGGATAGGGTGTAAGAAAATTATTAATAGAAAATTAACCTTAGAAAGAAGCTTTTTTAAAGTTCAAGGGTTCAAACTCCATATGGACCAGCCACCCCTCCCTCCCAAAAAAAAAGAAGGGAAGAAGCTCTTTCAATAAGGTAAACAGAAAAAATAATCAGAGTTTAAAGAGGAAACAACAGCATATTAGGTGAATATTTACTGAATGTTCTATTCTGTGCATGGCACAGAACTCTGTGACCTAGGGTACAATGTGTAATGCTGAAAAGACGTGATCTTAATCTTTAAAATTCACTCTTGGGCAGGCCCCGTGGCGCGCTCGGGAGAGTGCGGCGCTGGGAGCGCAGCGACGCTCCCGCGGGTTCGGATCCTATATAGGAATGGCCAGTGCAGTGCGCTCACTGGCTGAGCGCAGTGCGGGTGACACCACACCAAGGGTTGCGATCCACTTACTGGTCACGAAAAAGACCAAAAAAAAAAAAAAAAAATTCACTGTTAAACATCTTCTGTAACTTAACTGATTGCTCGATACATATGTAAAGTAGTAAAGCAAATGTAGTCTGTGTTCAGTTTCAGGTGATTCTTTTTTTTTTCCCCTCTATTAATGGTAGCATTGCTGCATTTTGCTTCAAAATTATTTTAGATAGATGCATAGTCAGTTGACATCATTTTTAAATTTTAAATGTGAATTTTTTTTGGCAGCATACTCAATCTTCTGTTTGTCCTAGTCTCTGCTATACCACACTCATTTCACCTATGTGAAATATCTGGCCTCAGGAGGTGTTTATAACTCTCACTAAACCTTTGTGCCACAAGCAAGTGTTACACTTCTTGCTGTGTGACAGAGATGTAAAAAAAAGGATTACTCAAATCAACATGAATGCAATGAGAAGCCCAAAGAGACTGCACAGGAAAAAATCACTTGGTTCAATCATTTCAAAAGGACACAAAGACGTGGGCAATTGACAAAAGTTATCTATGGCTAAGTATAGCTTAAACAATGGAAACTAGTAACATCATTTAAGTTAACAAGGTGACATTCCAAAGTACAATTTGTGAAAAGCTAAATTGATCAGACTGTGATCATTATCTAACCCAAAATATAACCTCTCCCCAAATGATTTAAGCAAAAGTTGCGTTCTTATGATAATTGTCTCTAAGGTTTCTACCAACAAACAGCTTGCCCTTAGCAAACATTTTTTCACGTTTTTCCCTATAGCAATTCTTTCAATATCTTTTAACAGTCAGTATGTTAAATAGTCAAAGTACATAATCCCATCCCTAAACAGTGATTAGAATTGATTAGATGGGCTTTTGCCAAGCTATCTGTGGACTTTTGTCCCCTGACTGGAGACTTTTGTCTCATGCATGCATTACCTAAAAACCCTGTCTAAAAATCAACTGAGAATCAACATATACTTGATTAGAATTTATTAGATAAGCTTTTGCCTGCTGGCTGTAGACTTTTGTCTCTTAATCGAGGGTTTTTACCCTGTACATGCATTACCTAAAAACCCTATTCTAAAAATCAAATGAGAATCAAGATTTCTAACCCTCTACATTTCCCCCCTGTTAATTATTTAAAAAATCAGAAGAAATCAAGGAGTCAAGTCAAAGTTGGAAGCAAGGATGTCCTGATGAAGAGTCAGCATTACTTCAGCTTGATGAGTCCATTGGAGCATGGAACATAACAGTTTAATCACTATAAAAAACACAAGATACGTAAGACACTAATTCCAGCAGTAATCCAAATTCTTATGTTTAAACCAGAAAACCAGTGGGTAGGATTCAGCCAATAGTTCAAATCATTTAATGGCCCAAATGATTAATCTTTTGAGCTGCTTTTTGAAGCTGTGTCATTTGTTGTTGAAGTTTAATTATTAAGTTTTGAATATCTCCATGTAAATAAGAATGAAAAGCTCCATGTAGTAATCTTTGTACATACTTCCATGCAGTGGAGGAATTAAAAGGAATAGAAGTTATACACATGGAGCAATATCCTGCATCACAGACTTGAACTCTGAGTTCAAGTCCAAAGAGCTTGTTGGTGTTCACCAATCCAGGATACAGCTGCCTCTAAGGCATCCAATCCCTGTAAACTTTCTTGGTCAATTTCAGTTTGAGATAGATCAGAAGTTACATTTCGAAAAGTGTGAATAGAATGCTAAGGTTGCTGCTGAAGCAGTTATAGCTGTAGCAGCAGTCATGGAAGTGGTAAGAAGGCCCAAGCATCTCTTAGGGTGAACTTGCTCTGGAGCAGAAGTGACTTGCTCTAGGGCAGAATTTCCCATCCACTGATGAGTAAGATTATTAGGCCACCATGCCTTTGCTCTTTGTTTTAGTATAAACATGTGAGAAATATTAAGATTAAACCAAGTATAGTTAGCAGGAAGTAAAATTAATGATTGAAATAACAGGTATCTGAGAAGAGATGGCAAATATATATTGTCAAGAGGTGCAGATCATAACTGAGTTGATGTATCATAATCCAGTATCAGTAAATCATATGGACCCCAATTTTCTAAAGTCCCATTACCATATAATTTATTTTCTGTAAAATTATTTGAATGGCAGAAGACCCAATTAAGGCCCAGACTGTCTCCAGTAGCAATGTAGGGATCTGAACAAACAGGAATATTGGATTTAGGATGATTGTTTCCCCATTTAGAATTTCCACTGACTCCTGCAGTTTGAATAAATATTTGATGTTTCACAGCTATAATACGATTAAAAGCTGTAAAGATGTGATTTATATACCGTCGTGGTTGAAAGGGAATGCAAAAGTTGCTAGCAGGAAAATTAGTCACTACAGATAAAGGCATTTCCTCCTCAATAAGGAAATACCAATTGTGAAAAAGTTTATGCCATCCATTATGATGACCCTTCTTACTATAATTTATTTTGCAATTCTGTAATGGACCAGGAGCACTCCAGTGTAAGCAGTATCATTAGATGAAAGAGGAGGCTCTGAATCACCCCAAGTAACCAGATCAAAAAATGGGGTATTCAAAACATGGATCCAATAAATATTATTACTTACGGAAGGCTGAACAAAAAGGAAAAGCCCATATATTATGAACAGGCATGTTACCTTTGGACCTTTGGAATTTATAGTCACATGATTCTGGAGTTGAGTTCTGGAATTGGATTTGTTCTTGCGTGGTGCCACATGATAGGGGTGAATGGCCTTTGCTGGTATCTAAAGGGGACCTGTAGGAGAAAGAACAGAAGACCCTCTTCTCCATATTAACAAATCAACAGGCCCTAACCATTATGGTCCTGTTGGTAGGTGGCGGTATAAAACTAAGGGTTTAGGTCTTTCCTCAGTGGTAATGAAATGTTATTCTATGGCCGTTAAATTTTGAGAATTGCAGTTTAAAAAATTTACAGTTAACAAGGCCTTAAAGAACTGTTCATGAGGGGCTAAACCTTTCTCCATAGGCAAGAGGCAAGTATAAACAGCAAAAGGATAATTGTTATCTGTTTAACCTATGCCTGCAAGATGCTTACCTTTTCTTGTCATGCCTAGAGAGTGGGGATTCCCACAAGACTTGGATGACCAAGTCTGAAACCAGGTGATTGTTGAATTATTCCTATGCGTGGCATCATCATCATAACTTTCTAATTTTCCAAGTGCTACCAAGTCTATTTGTTATTTGCTATAATATACTGTGCATAAAGGACTATGCTAAATTTCCTTTAAGCCACAGTCTGGTGGAGAGTAAAAATTCCTAGTTATTTGTCATAGTTTTGAACTGTTATTTATTGGAAGGGTTACATTCTCTAGGGACCTCTTTGGGGGAGGGACTTCTTAGTATTAATACAATAATTTTATTTCCAAGTGAGTATTGTGTAAATGTAATGATTAAACTGGGGGTAATAGAACTTAAGTAAACCCTGAAAATCTCTACAGAATTTGAAATGAAAAATTCCGTGTCATTCGGATACCACCATTTAAAATTGCCCTGTAACTTCCTTACTTTAAATCCTCCATTGCCTACAGAATGATGTCAGTCCCTTAGTATAACATACATGATTAATGTATATGATCCTCAGCAACCTGATCCTTCCTGGGTGTCTCTTCCCACTCTACTTCCTCCTAACACCAATGTCCTAACCAGGCAGAACCATCTTTGTATTTTCTGAAATATACTCTCTTGCTTTTATGTGTGCAGTTTCTTCTACTTTTTCCCCTCTTTTCTGATTGGTGATGTGCTCTCACTTTCATGGTGCTTTTTTTCACTCTTAAGTGACGTTAGCATTCCTCATGTATATCTCTTAAAACTTCATTGCACTTTATTGCAATTTGTTGTCTATTTTTCTGCTTCTCTTAGACCTCTAAGCATCTCGATGAACAGGACTTTGTTGTATTCATCCACTTGTTCCCTGTACCTAACACATTGTCTGAATGTGTTCAATAAATGTTTGTAGGATGAAGGAATAGTATTTTACATGTAAAGATGTGGAAGTCCAGAGGATGACATGATACATGTGAATGGTTATGCTGCTAGTTGGGCTGGACCCCATGTTTCTTGGCCCCCGAGGTCCAATCCAGTACTCTACCACTAAATGGAATGAATTTTGGTTTTTAACAAAACATCTTTTTGTTTCTTCACTTACAGATATTGGTGATGTTAAGAAGTTTAAACCAGGTTACTTGGAAGCTACTCTCAATTGGTTTAGATTTTATAAAGTGCCAGAAGGAAAACCAGAAAACCAGTTTGCTTTTAATGGAGAATTCAAGAACAAGGTGAAGATGATAATCTTTATTTTAAAATGTACCTTCTGATACTTGTACAATACTTGTTTCACTTGGGGAATTTCTTATGTGAATATTTGTATATAACATGATAAAAGTGCTTTTTACTGACTTACATATTTAAGGACATTATTTTATTGTTATAAATTTTTTTTCTCAGGAGATTTCTCTAAATGAATCAACAAGACTGAAAAATATTTCCATCTATATATGTATAGTTCCTTCATCTTCTCAGAAAATGAAGGAATTCTGTGATCAGTCTAACTTTGTAAATTGTGTATGAAGAAAAACCCTCCATTACTATTTTGGGGAGGAGAATTTGGAGTACCCTTAATGTAAATCCATAGGGGCTTCCCTCGTAAGTGTTCCCTCTACCGTGACTGAATTAAGCTGCTTAACAAAGAAAGCACTTGAGTTATCGTACTGTCATAGGGTTTTTCTATTAGAATACCTTAAAGTTATTATTAAGGTCTCTCTAATATGACAAATGGAGAAAATAGACCAAGGAGTTCAAGTCTAAAATGGGGGATTTGTTTTTTTAAATTATTACTACAAAGTAAGTTGCATGTTTTAAACCAACTTTGAAATGGGTACTAATAAATAAAGTAGGTTTTGTAAGTAAAATAAGGAATGTTAATGAAAACTTAAAATTTACAATAAGTATTTCGTAATACAAGTATTGACTGCTAGACCCAGTACTTTTTTGAAAGAACCTTTATTTTTATTAAAAGAACGCTTAATATCTTCAGGGTTTTGTCAAGGATTATTAAGTATGAATATACAACTATTAGAGTATAGCACTAAAGCACCTGTAGCCTAAACATAAACAAATGTGACTATGCTCTGTAAAACTTTATTTATAAAAACAGTTGTCACGCTGGATTTGACCCGCAGGCCCTAGTTTGCTAACCCCGTGGTTTACATCATTCTCATTATTTCATTTTATAGATGAAGACATTGAGGCTTAGTGAGGTTAAATAACTTGCCCAAAGTCACAAAGGAGGTGAATAAGGAAGCCAGAATTTATACTCAGGTTTATCTGACTCCAGAGCTCAGGCTCTTAACAGTTAACTGCCATAACGAGATTAGTTCTATTAACAATGTGATTGCTATGTCTCTTTTTGGTTTGGAACTAGGCTTTTGCTCTTGAAGTTATTAAATCTACTCATGAATGTTGGAAGGCATTGCTTATGAAGAAGTGTGATGGAGGGGCTATAAATTGGTAAGAATTTGTTTTTTCTATGTAAGTAGTATTATTTTGTTGTTAATCGTTACTAAACTGCCATGTACTACTACTCAGATCTCATATTTTTTAAAAAAGGGAATTGCAATTTTTTTTTTTAATTGAAAAATATGGAGCAGCTAGCTATTCAGTGGGCATTACTCCGTGCTGGGCATGGTCCCTTTCCTCAAGGAATTTGTAGGTTAGTGGGGGATACTGATATATAAGCAGACATTTAATTGTAATACATTGTGATATGTGCAGAGATGGAGTGAATAAACAGTTTTTCTTTTCCTTTTTTTGACCACTTGTTTATTTTATTTATTTACTTATTTATTCATTCACTCATTTTTTTTGGTGGCTGGCTGGTATGGTGATCTGAACCCTCTTCCTTGGTGTTATAACCCTACGCTCTAACCAGCTGAACTTAACCAGCCGGCCCAAAATAGCACTTCTTCAACATGCAAATATATGGTTATTTTATTTATCTAATAACACTGGCTGGTATGGTGATCTGAACCCTCTTCCTTGGTGTTATAACCCTACGCTCTAACCAGCTGAACTTAACCGGCCGGCCCAAAATAGCACTTCTTCAACATGCAAATATATGGTTATTTTATTTATCTAATAACTACCACATCACTTTTTGATAAGAACAGTAAAAGCCTTGTCCAGCCTGATCTGGATCATGAGCTGATTAAGAGGAATCAAACAATAGTAACATACTTAAACTTTTTTTTTTTTTCCTTTTTGTCTTTTTTCGTGACCGGTAACGGGATCGCAACCCTCAGTGTCGCGCCCGCACCGCACTCAACCAGTGAGCGGATCGGTCTCTATATGGGATCCGAACCTTCGGCGGGAGCGCTGCCGCACTCCCAAGTGCTGCACTCTACCGAGTGTGCCACCGGGCCGGCCCCATACTTAAACATTTTATTTTAATTTAAAATATTTAAATGTATATTTATTCCCAAGTCTTTAGATATGGGGCTAAGACCTTTTCTATATAGATTCCATATAGATTTTCTTTGTATATTCTAACATAATATAGAATAGAAAATAAAGATCCTGTATCCTTAAACTCCTTACAACTTAAAAACCCTTACAGGTTCTTAGGGTTCTTTCTAATCTTTTGTACTTATATTACCCATACTAATTTGACATCAAGTTTTTGTAGTGACTCACCTTTGTTGAGGCTTATAAGAGCCTCAATATTGTTTACAACCTCAATAGTATTACAGCCTACTTAGCTTTCATAGAAGCAGTCTTCTTTTCATACTCTTCATTGATAAGCATAATTACTGCTTACTTTATGAAATTATAGTAATAAGTACAACTGACCTAAATAGGTTTGGGAATAAAAACAATTGATATTTAGATAATTGTTTCTAATTTAAACAATATAATCTATTAACAACAAATCTGGGTATAATTGAATGTCCTCTTGTCCTGACTCTTCAAGTAAGTGGTAGACTGAGCTATTCTTTATGGTTCTGAAGTTAGATATTAGTGTGATATGTCCCTTCAAAATGAAGGGGTCGCTAATTATCTGAAGAGATATTTGCTTGCTGTTTGTCTTATTTATGTCCTTCCTAATTCTACTTTTAAAAAAGCTTATGCAGTCCCTGGTGGGAACTTGAGTGTTTCCCAAGTTTCCTCAGCTACATAGCTAGAGACCTTCTCTATCTACAGCCTGATATCATTTCTTCTGTGCTGATTCTAGTTACTTTTCCTCTGAGGATAGCCTTATTTCTAAGTTTCTATAGCCTCTTAGGTAATAATAAGGATTACATTAATATAAGAAAAGGTAGTTATTGAACTCTATACTATGTTCCAGGTTCTGAGTATTTTATGTGTTACGTAATTAATACTCACAAGAACCCTGTAAGATATGTATTGTTATTATCTCTGTTTTACACATGAGGAAATTGAGGCCACAAAGACATTTAAGTAACTTACCAAATGTCACACGGTGGGGCCAAGATTTAAATCCAGATTCCATACCTACTCAGATCTCATTCTATTACCTCCTCTATGTTTTTTTATGACAAAATAATTTTTTTTAGCTTAAGAATTTTCAGGATATAAACTTCAGTATATAAACAGTATGTATCTAGATAATTTCACTTGATCTTAACCAAAAGGCTGAGAAGTGATTCATATAGATAATTTAAAGTTTAAATCTTCAGAATTTTAACTCACTTTTGTTCATTTTT